CCTAGAACAAATATATTTTACACAAACTCTACATATAACGATCCAAAACCATATAGAATATGTATAATTGGGAGATCTGCACACTCTTTCTATCTTTTTTTTTTTTTTATTTAGCTTAGCTTTGTAATTTGGAGAGACAATGAAAGTTAGTTTTCCTAGGATTATTAAAGAATTGAGTTTAAATTGGCTGATTATTTGATGAATTGATTTGAACTTACGTTACATTTATTTAATATGACAAGCTTATTTTAATTTTCTTAATTTTATTGAAAATAATAAATACTACAATGTGTCATATAAATGTTGACTTTTTTGTGTTTTATTCAACTACAAGTTTCTTGTAGCTTCACTAATTAACCCCCCCTTGATAAACAATCCTGGCTTCGTGCCAGCCCCTCTTCCCTTTAATTAAAGTGGTAGCAAAACTCAATCCCAAACTTTTCTTATATGAGATTTTAGTAAGAGTTGATTGATGACGAGCATGAATTATAAATAGTAGACATGTTAGTGGCATTTTTCATCTTAGAAGAAAAAATAAGACCAAAATTGAGATATAATTGTCTTTATAATATAAATTAAAAAAAAATTTACTCTTTAACTAAATTTTAATTTTTTCACATTATACTCTCAATTTATTAAAAAATTACAATATGGCCATCCCATTTTTTTAATTTGCTAAAACTCACCCCATTGACATTAATGAAATGAGCAAAGAAACTAATGCAAGGATCACATTATAACTCTTTTAGTACATTGATAATAAAGTGTATAAAATCTAATATTAGAGGATACAAAATGAGAATTCTTAAATATTTCAAGCTATAAAGTACAATGGATAAAGCTCTGTTACATAAATTTGTTTACAAGATATGATATCCCAAGTGATATGTCAAAATCTCATATATTGAATATTTGGTAGAGTTAGTGGACCCTATTAATCTTACAACCTGCATTGATTTGAGATACAAAATTTGTCAACATAACATTACTCAGGTGCAATTGGTAATATTAATTAAAAATAAAATAAAAATTGAAATTTATGTTGGTCTAATTTATTAACATTAGTATTTCTCGTACCTGAAGGCACAGCGTAATAAAAAATATTCAATAATAAACATATTTGTATTCACACTCAAAATTAAATCATAAAAAAATAATTTTAATTACTGATTGTAGTGGGAATGAACGGTGATAGTGATAGTGGGTGGCAATAATGGAAAACGGTGATGATTGTACTGGGTGGCGACGATCGCAATAGTAGTGGCACCCGTGGGTTGCAAGGAATATGGTGGTAATATTTTTTGGATAACAATGGTGGTAGTGATAGTCATGAGTGAGGACAATTTTGGTGATAAGTATGAGTGATGATGATTGACAGTGGTAGTAGTAAGACAACAACGGTAGTGGTGGCATGGTGGATAGTGACGATGGTGGTGGTAGATGACGAGAGAGTTCTAATAGTTGATGTAATTTATAATCAATTCACATGTTTCATCAAATTAAATCAATAAATTATATCACTAGTTTAGGTACTAATGTCATTCCTCTATGATTTAACTCGAAACAAATGGAGCTGACAATGGCGGCCCTCTTTGTTGATACGATTATTGGTCAAAAATTTGGGAAACAGAAAGATGAAAGAAAAAGGAAAAACAATATAAAGAAGGCAGAGAGCCAGACACAGAGAGGGAGACGACAGAAAAAGTTGAGAAGGTGAGAATTGACGGAATTTACGAACATAAAAGACGGTGGAGAGAGAGAGAGAGAGCTGGCAACGGCCCCCCACCCCAACGCTTCTTCTTCCACCCCATATTCTTCAATCTTCACAGCCATCCCTAATCCGCTATATATCTTTCTCCGAGTCTCTCTCACTCGACCATTGGTTTCAAGACACGCACACACACACATACCACTGTTACGCGCACACATTAATTTCACGGACCCCTCGGTTCTTTGATTTTTCTTCCTCGACTCCATTCTCACTATCATGGGTATCCTTTCTGCGTCTTTATCATAGGAGAGAGAAAGAGACATAAAGAAGGCGGAGGGAGAGAAGGAGAGAGAGAGAGAGTCGGTGAATAAACATGAGGTCCCTACTGGTTCATTCTTGGCGGGCAGCAACGGTCACTTTCAATGATTTTGGCCGTGGGTGCTTGTGAATTGTGGCTCCGCTCAATGACAACCCATCATCTCGTCGCTCTTGCCAATTGTTTTCGATCTTTATCTTGGTATTGATCGAAAAACGCTATTCACCGTCCTTCAGTCGAAGCCAAAGTAGTTGTTCTATTTGTGATCTCAAAACTCGAACTTTGCGTTGGTTACGTACTCCAACAAGTGTGTTTAAGCTTCTGGGGTTCTTGGGCCGAAGGGGAACTAGCAGATCTCAGTCACATGAAGGGTTCTTTTACTGTGAGTTGTCTTCAATTCCATTGCATTCACTGTTCTCAACTTCCTCTTTCGGTTTACTCATCCACATTTTTTGTGTCTTCTGTTGAGGAGTCTTGACGGTTTGATCTTTCTCTCCGTAGCACTGACTGTGAAAAGTAACAGCATCTTGAACGGTTGTTCTGTTTTTTCCCCATTCAATTTAACGACAACAATGTTTAGGTCGGGAATGCGTCTTTAGATGAACCAAGAAATGACTTTTGAAATTATTCTTTTCAGCCATAAATTAAGGGAGAAAAAACTGAAATTTGTTTGGATCTAACCTAGAAATTTGCATAAATTTTTCTTTCTTAATTTTTCCTATATGGGTGATTGTGGACTGTGGAGATCTTAATTAAAAGTTATTTATTTCTAGCTTCCTGGAATTGATTTCTTATCTCGAGTAAAATGCAGCTACTCGCTCTTAATAGCTTTCCTGTTAATTTGGCATAAAATCTTTGATCATCAACCATAAAATTCTCTCTTAGTTTGTTTTTGAGACTAGATATTCACAATTTTTATACTGTGAATATTTTGCTTGTTTTAGGAAATTATTGTTCTTGTAGGTTCATTTGAGTTACTTTTAGCATCTGTTGGATTACAGAATGCATCAAGAAAGAATTGCTTACAGTCAGATGACATTGTCATATTGTGACACTGACTGATATTGTCTATCAAACAGCTGGTGGATGTGCTTCTGGTACTCGCCTTGTTGAATGAAGCTACATTGACTGTCAAGGGCAGGCCACATTGCAAACAGACAAATTCAGGAGTTTTTCGACCTCACAGTGTCTCAATCAGCGAGTTTGGTGCAGTAGGTGATGGGCAAACCCTCAACACCAAAGCATTTCAGAATGCCATCTTCTATCTCAATTCCTTTGCCGACAAAGGGGGGGCCCAGCTTTTTGTCCCAGCTGGCCGGTGGTTAACAGGAAGCTTCGTTCTCATCAGTCATCTAACTTTGCGCTTAGATAAGGATGCTACAATTCTTGGATCCACGGTGAGCCTTCTCCTCATTGTGTAAGCATTTTAACACCACAAGATTTTCGTAAATATGTCAATAATTGGTTCTCCCTCTTCTAAGTGAAATGCTATCAATTTTCCCATCTAACTGAAATCTATTAATAAGCTAACCTATTTGAGCTGCCTAGTAGATGGAAAAGTAGGATGTCTTTACTAATTGTAACAATCAATAAAAGTAATGAATATGAGTAATATTTCTACTCAATCAAGTGCTTATCCATGCCAGTAAGCTGAATTTACCTGCATTATGACAAATGACGGAAATGTTCAAATTTGTGGTGCAAGGATTGCTACTTACTCATCAACCTCTAAACTCTTAAAATCTTTGCTTAGATCGATGGATTCATTCCAAGTCCCACTGGCCAGTGCTTTCTGCTGTGACCGTTGATATTATGTCTCATCACATATAATAATATGAATTAGCTTGTCTTGCATTTTCAGAACTCTGATGATTGGCCACTTACTGATCCCCTACCGTCATATGGCCGAGGTAGGGAGTTACCTGGTGGAAGGCATCGAAGCCTCCTTTATGGAAACAATTTGACTGATGTTGTTATAACAGGTTGATGATATTTATAAAGGATTATGTTCTCTTCATGCTGTCTTGTTTTCTTCCCTGCCATTCAAAACTTTCTCTATGCAGGTGATAATGGAACTATTGATGGTCAGGGCACAGTCTGGTGGAATTGGTTCCGAAATGAGACCTTGGATTATACCAGGCCTCATTTGGTTGAGTTGATGAACTCAAATGGTGTCTTCATCTCAAACCTGACCTTCCTTAATTCACCTTTCTGGAATATCCACCCAGTGTACTGCAGGTCTGTATGCTCCAGAAAAATTAAAGAACATTTCTTTTCCTTGTTCATTAACCTTCAGAGTTTTCTATTACCAATTTAAAACTGCACAAAAGCCAAGTTTTATGATTAGGAGAGTTGAGACTCTTTTTCTGGATGTACAGCCAAGTTAGAGTCCAAAATGTAACAATCATTGCTCCTCTTGATTCACCAAACACAGACGGGATTGATCCAGGCAAGCTTTCTTTAAGGCTGGATTTTTTTCCCCCTTTGTACTTACGGTGATATGCAGTATTCTAGTTCCAGTCTTAGTTATTAAGAAGTTTCACACGGTCTTTCAATTTTCTCTCTCTTAGTTAGTTATTAACACAGCTAGTGTTCATACCTTAAACAATCTGGTAGTGCAATAATTCTTGAATTATTTATTCTTTTTTGTTTTAATAATGACCAAAATTAGCTCTTAAAACTGAACATAAACAGAATGTGTTACGACCCCAAATATCTTCAAGAGATTACCTGGTAAATGGGGCTCAGTTCAGTATGCTCTCCAAAATTGACCCCTATAATGCAAATCAATTTGCATACAGAGAGTGCTCCTTTTGAATTTCTGAGATGGGAGAACATTGAAAAACTTCCATTTTTAGGATAACAGAGAGCCATCCTGATCATGTTAAATTTCTGTGGAACCCGAGGTATAATCTTTTGCTCACTGCGACACATTTCTGTTCCAAAATCAAAAAAAGACAAAAAAAAAAAAAGGAAAACTGCGAGCTTTTGTGATTCTTTTGATTTCAGATTTTCCTGCTTGAATGCCATAATGTCAACTAACCTTGATGTGATTGTTGCATCAGAGTTTTGAGGCGGTGTATATTCCCATGTTTTTGGTTTCCTATGTCGTGTTTTATGAACTTTATCATTTCCGTCGATCAACTGGTTCTAAACTATGTATCAAGTTCTGACCATTTTTTTAATGCGATTAGACTCTTCCAATGACGTTTGCATTGAAGACTGTTACATAAGCACTGGCGATGATCTGATTGCCATCAAAAGTGGGTGGGATGAATATGGTATTTCCTTTGCTCGTCCCAGTACTAATATTATTATTCACCGGCTTGTTGGAGAGACTCGGTCAAGCTCAGGCATTGCAATTGGAAGTGAGATGTCTGGAGGTGTATCGGAAGTTCATGCTGAAGACCTCCAATTCTTCAATTCAAATGCAGGTATTACAATAAAGACGTCTCCTGGGCGGGGTGGTTATGTGAAAAATATCTTCATATCAGATGTGACTCTAATGGATGTTAATGTTGCTATAAGGGTTATTGGCCAGTATGGAGAGCATCCGGATGAGTTTTATGACCCTAATGCTCTTCCCCTAATAGAGATGATTACCATTCAAGATGTTACAGGAGAGAATGTTAAAGTTGCAGGCCTCATGGAGGGTATAAAAGAGGATGATTTCCATAACATTTGCCTATTTAATCTCTCTCTCAGTGTAAGTTCAGGTTCCCCATGGAACTGTTCTTATATCCAAGGATATTCAGACTTGGTTTCCCCAGAGACTTGTCAGCCTCTCAAAGAGAGAATCTTTCCTGAGCATTCCTCGGATTGTTACCATTTGTCAGACCACCTGCGGAGGATGAGTAGTCGAAATGGAGGTGATCAGTTTCTCTCATGGTAAATATAACGATGTATTATAACACATTGCTAATGGTGACACACATTCTTTTGAAATTGTTTCGTCTTTAATTTGATTCTTTCCATTTCTCTGCACAACTGCCTAATTCATTGTGGGCAGTGATCTCCTGAAGCAATGTTTTTGAGTGTAGCTGCTAATGATATGTGGACTTGTTGACCTGTGAGATTATATTGAGATATGATTTGATTGTTGTAATTTTTGTGCAGCGACAAATAATCCAGTGATTTAGCAGAAGTTGGAAGTGGATAACGTTAATGCCTTCGAAGTTTATTGTCCATAATTTATAATAAAATCCTTGTGAACATGATGCCTCCACGTTATGCTGCAATTTTTTTTTACCAGAGTCCAAACGAAAACACTAGCAGTGGTTGTGACACCCTATACCGGAAAAGAGTTAGAGAGTGGATAACCTCAACCATATATAATTTCAGAGTAATCTAATTCTGTACAATAATGTCAAAATCCATTCGTTATAATAAGAAATTGGACAAAAACATATTACATTGTACAACGTTACTACTACTAGGACACCATACTTTGTAAGCATCTTTATAACTCTTGTACATTATGACTCGTAATGTAAAATATAATCTATCCCAACACTTCTATGTCAAGTTAGACTGCTTAGTGGATTATTTTCTTAATCTGTATACTTGTTACCACTACTAGGACACCAAATCCTTAAGCATCTTTATAATTGTTGTATATTATGACTCTGAACATAAAATATAATCTATCACCAACACCTCTACGTCAAAGCTAGACTGCTCAGTGAATTACTTTCTTAATTTGCATACCTAAAAGCAAATAATTGTTGGGGAGGGGGAGGGGGAGCAAACAACACATTAAGTGAGCAAGGGCGGAGGGAGGCTAGGGCCAGGGTGGGCACTTAAGCCTATTTAAAATAAAAAAATTTTGAACCCACCACTATCTACTAAAACTTATTAAAAAATCAAAATTTTGAGCTATCACAATCTATTCAAACCTATTAAAAAAAATAAAACTTTTGGCCCACCATTAAAAAACAAAATTTTTGGCTCACTTGACAGACATCAGCAACACTTATCTTATTAGTTATCTTTTTTTTTTCCTCTCTGTCTCACTCACTCTTAGTTGCCCAACCAGAAGAAACAAAATAAATCTCATTCCTCAATTCTTTGGATTTTTTTGTCATTCCTTGCACAGTTGATTGGTTTAGTAGAGAGTATGGCCGAAGGCAGCATATGCCCCAGGGCCCTGTCCACCCTCAATTTTTTTTTCTTAACATTACCTTATGTATTTCAAGTATTTCTTCAATATTTTTAATTATGCTCACCCTATTTTTTTTTGTACATCTATTAGTGTACACTTATATCAAATAAATATAAATTTTTTTGACACATTTTGGACATGTTATGTATCTATAGACCAAAGTGATAAAATGATGGTGTATATAAAAAATAATAAAGTAATTATGCAACGGTTTCAAAGTATGAAAATTCACCGAAGTTAATTCTAAATAATTTTAATTAGCCTATATTTTGTAAAAAAAAAATTTGGTATCGTTTGTATATACTAAGCTTACCAATTTTGGTATGTTGGGTTTATTGAATTTTTAAGTATTAAATAGGATATAATTAAATATAAATTATTGTCTTATTTTTATTAATTGTAAAAAAAACAAATTAGTTTATTGAAATATTTGTTCCCACCTTGACATGACTTGTTGGCTCCGCCCCTGTCAGTGAGTATATATGAAATATATTAAAAGAAAACGCATAAACGCTAAACAATTATATTTATATCTCACATACATATTTAAAATGGAATTAACATTAAATATCTAACATCAGATACCCATCAACCAATACCCAACATTCAAATAACAACATCCAATATTTACTATCTAATATCTGATATCCCATAACAGTTAACGCCATCCGTTTTCGCTCAGGAGTTTCGGCAGTTATATTGCTACTATTTTGGCCCAGCAGTCTTGACAGTCCCATCACTATCGTTTACGCTCGACAGTCTCAGCTATTATATCGCTACGGTTTATGTCCAGTAGTCTCGATAACCTCATATTGTTAAGTTTCAATTATCAATTCAATTATTTGGAACCACACCCAACACTCATCCACAATTCTTAAGCCATTGATTCATAATCTAATCATTTCCAACTAAACATAGCTAGTAACAAATAATCACCATTTCACAGTTCATAGTTTATAACTTACCAAATTGTAAAACCCTGACCCATTTTCATGATGATATTCAGAATGGTAATAGCCGCCATTAAAAGTAAACAATACAATCTCCAAATAATAAGTAAACTCTCATACCAATTTTATATACATTTCAAGTGTTTGTCATTAACCTCAACATATAAATATACTATTCATAAGTATGATACGACTCAATCGTAGACTTATTATATTATTTTCACATACATATGTGAAGCTTTTTCACTAATTACGTGCCTCAACAACATTAATCAACATTTAGAATGAAAATCCTGAGAATTAGAAGTTCAAACTTTCGTGAACTTTCTCGTCACCTGCTAATTTAAAAAAGGGGAAATAATGCAGGGTGAACATCAACAACTTAATAAAGCAATTCAATTTCCAAAAAAAAGAGTTTTAAAATAACATAATTTGACATGATTGGACAATATCAAAATAGTTCATTTTATATATAAGTAATAGAGTAGAAAAACATTGAACAAAAATAGTTAAGTTAAAAATAGTAATACGATTATAACATCAATACAATGCTTCATCTGTGGGTGATCATCCTAATAGACCACTCAGAGTTCATACAAACATATGATCCAACTTTTTGGGGAATTTTCACCCCGAAGAAGATACGCTCCTTAGTAACAATTTGGTATTCAAGTCTGAAGACCAAAAAGGTCACCCAAGCATTTACGAATTTAATGAGAAACCCTCTATGACCTCAACCTAGAAACCCTTCGCCACTCAACTGTTGCGCACTTACATTTAATTCCTAAAAGGATCCTGGAGTTCCATGAAGTACGAACAACACGATCATTTCGAGCATTTGTGCGAAACCACAAGGATTTTCAATAGATTCGAAATTCATCTTTTGTTTTGATTCCAGCTAGCAGCCGGCCCAATTCTATGGAATTAGCTATAAGTCAAGCTTATCAACTATCAAAGGAAAGGCCAGTTCGAAGTTGTGATTTTAATTGGCCAAAAAGTTTCTACAACTAGAGGGCACGGATCTAGCGGAAAGCGAGGAGCTCGCAATAGCTAAATCACGATCCCCGAACGAGCTCATATTGACATAAGGCTGCTGGAAGTTAATAAGCATTGCAAGAGCTATCTATCTAGTTTAGTATCAAGGTGATTTTGTTTTCGTTTCTATATGTATGGGTCTGTGCAACATTTCCATGATATCGTTATGATCAATTAATGGGACTTGGCCGGAAAGTGTTCTTGCCTCTATCAGTAGCTCGGGTAGTCCTCGTTTCTGGTGTTTTAGTCACCTTTCAATGACTCTCTTAATTATGTGAGAGAAATTCTCTTATTGAGTAATGGGAAATGGGTTACTTCCCAAGTCAATATTTAAAACACCTAATCATATATTTCAAAACATGTTAAAACATCATATATAACATATAGAATAATTTAAAAACAAGTTTGAAAAACATCGCCTATTCCAAAGTTGAGAAACCATACCACAAACCAAAACTTGAGTACCACATACGCCAAGTGAGAATTCAAACTTGCACTTAATGACAATTAAAATCCTTCTGTCCTTTTCTCTTATTTTATTTCTTCTATTTTCCTCTCTTCATTATATATCTCCTAATCATTTTCAATGTCACAAGTAGGGCTCATTTCCAACTTAGCATAGGAATATTCCATTCAAACCCTACTTGTATAGCATCTTTAGACATTCTGCAGATAACCTTCATGGGTTAAAATAACTCTAACTCAAGTTATATAAATCGAATTCTAACAAAATCTATGGGAGATTAACATAGACTCATAAGGATTCACTCCCACCAAAAATCACTATTTTTGCAATGAAATACATGTTCAAAGTAACTCCTAAAACTAAGCATAAGCTACAGAATTTCAGGTTTCAGCATATCATAGTCATCTTTAGAAATTCACCATAAATCAATTTTAACTTTTTCTTGTATGAAATCAAAGGGAAAAGAATGATTAACTATTGGTGAATTTTTAAAGTTAATCCTGCTGAAAAAGGTCTTGGGTGTTATGAATGGAAGGTGATTTAGGGTTAATACTCTTATGCTACATTTCTTTTTTTATTTTGAAATTTGGAGAGTTGAAAATAAGTTAAAAATAACCTTTTACGAATCTATTCATAACACCCAATTACGAAACTACAGGCTCTCTAGATTTGCCAGGACAATTTCTATAGACTAGGATTGACTTTCAAAAACCACCAAAAATAGTATATAAATCCTTTTTACTTGAAACCAAAGCTCAAAGAATCATTTGTAAATGTAGTTTATTATACCAAAGTTTCAAAACATTAAAGAGCCGTAGCTTATGAAATGAACCAGAATCTCACCTGCTGTCCAGAATTGGCAGGATGTTTTCTTCTTCTTCTTCCTCCCATTCCCAGCTGAAACTTCTCTATTCTTTCATTTGTGGTTTTTTTTCTTCCTTTATCTCCCATATTTTTCCATTACTCATCACATAGTATACCAATAAATATACCAACATGCACAACTCTCTCTACTTTAAGGCCAACATATAACCCTTCACATGGCCTTGTCACCAAAGGTGGACAAGTGTCCACTCATGCCATATTTTATTCTATACAACACCTCCTAATATCCTACACAAATCTACATATCTACACGCTCTTACGTCATTTATCCCTGTATATATATTCGGACAGAACGTGAAATGCTAGAGAAGTGGGCGTGTGGCCCACTTTCCATTCAAACTTTATTTTCTTTAATGTTTCAACTTGTATATATATATATCTATATAATAAAGTAGTTAAAAATATTTGAATTCAAAAGGCAGAGAGGTTCATATCGTTTTGAGACAAAACATAAACGCATTCAACGAATAATATAATTTCAATATAAAAAACGATTCAGATCATCTCAAAAATTATGATCAACACAGGCCTCTGTCTCACGCCTCTCCCTCTCACTTCTGCCTCTATCTCTCTCATGGCTCTCTCTCTCACTTCTACCTCTCTTCCCAATCTCTCACGCCTCCAACCCTATCTAAAGTAGTTTTGAAGAATTCTTAAAAACCCTAATCTGGATATTCAGGACCCCCATTAGATTGTATTCGTCTTTGTTTCTTCCTCTCTTCCACAATCCCATAGCAGCCATGGTGAGCTTCTCTCCCTCTCTCTCTCTCTCTCTCTCTCTCTCTGTATGTGTATATAGAAGTGTATTCATATTCATGTCTTTGTGTGAATTAACCAATGTTTCTATTTTCTTCCTCAAATTATCATAGAGAAGAATCAGAGAGAGATCTCCAAATACCTCTTCCAAGGTTTCTCTCTCTCCCCCTCTATTTGTATGTATGTGTTTGTCTGTGTATTTTGTAAAATGCGATTTGCGGTGAATTCTCTGCTGAGGGAGTGTGCTTTGCAAAGAAGGACTACAACCTAGCGAAGCATCCAACGATCGATGTACCAAATCTTCAGGGGATCAAGTTGATGCAGAGCTTCAAATCGAAGGAGTACGTGCGTGAGACCTTCGCTTGGATGCATTACTATTGGTACCTCACCAATGATGGCATCGAGTTCCTCAGGAGTTATCTCAATCTTCCATCTGAGATCGTGCCGACCACTCTGAAGAAGTCAACCAAGCCACTAAGTTGCCCTTTTGGCGGTCCTCCAGGCGATCGTCTCTGGTATATTTTTTTATTTTCTCTAATTGGCTTAAAAGTTACATAATTCATTAGGTTCTGTTTTGATTTTTGGTTGTAATGTGATCTATGTGTTGGTTAATTGATATTCACAGTGGTCCAAGGTTTGAAGGGGATAGACCAAGGTTTGGCGATAGGGATGGGTATCGTGGGGGTCCTCGAGGGCCTGTAGGTGAGTTGGGGGGTGAAAAGGGTGGAGCACCAGCTGACTACCAGCCTGCTTTCAAGGTACGTTATCTTCCCTGAGATACTTTTTTGGAATGTAGCCTATGTAGGTTTGATTGTATGATGCTCATAAAAAATTGATTCCTATTTTCATGGAAGGGATTTTAGTTGTGGTTGAATGAACATTGGATGCAATTTATCTGTATTCTTATAGGGACTTGTAACCTTTGGGTGGTTTTTGACATTGATCCATGGTTGGATGTTATTGATTTTTTCCACCATTCTGAAATGACTGATGCTATATAATAAGGTACAAAATACTTTTCATAGGGATTCTCGCTTCAGGGCATAGATCGCTACACATTTTGGGTAAAAATTATACAAAAATCTTTGTCTATTATCTTCCATTTGGAAATTGGGTCATGGGGGCGGCGACCCCTCTCTAAGTTTCTTGCAATTAACCTAAAGTAGTTTTAACTCAATTACCAATTTCGGTGTTTGACAGTGGGGCAACATCTATGATTATTTTCGAGTTCTCTGACAAGGCATGCTTAGTGCCCCTTCTACTATGAATTTTTTTTTAATTTGATTTTTAATGAGAGCTTTTCCTATTTGATTTGTAGGATTTTTTTTAGGTTTGGGATAAAAAGCGTGTTAAGGTGTAGTTTTACACGAAAAAGTTTAAACTTTTATGTTGGTTTATGAGGTATTGGTGAACTTATGTGGTGCCACAGTAATTCTTAACCACGCAACACCCACCCATCCACCAACACACACCCCACAAGATTTAGCAAGCATGTATAATTGCATATGGCTTGAGAGTTTGGTTTGCTCTACAGAGACTCTTTTGAAGGGCAAGTAAGGAGGATGAGTAAGGAGGATTGATGTTTTAGGAATGCAATCGAGAGTTCAGTCCACGAGTTTGGTTGATTTAAAATAAAATAAACTTTGTGGTGTTAGTGGTATTAGCAATTTTATTTCACGCTTTATTGTTTTTGCTAAGTTTGTTATTTCTTGGTTATTTCAATTGGAAAAATATTTTTTTTGTATTACATATTACCTAAGACAAGGACTTCAGGTGCCCATCCAATTTTTATGGTTATTTATTTGATTGATTACTTTCCTCTATTCTTACCCTCGTTGAATTTCATTGGTTTGAATTTTCATTTTTTTTTTGTGTTACATAATGCCTTTAGGATTTCCATATTTTTTTTTGTATTCATTCTTATTATCAAGGAAACAAAAATGAAACTCATCCATGCTAAATATTAACAGGTTTCATATGGTATCCCTCATTGAGATGGGTTATTATCTAATTTAATTTTTTCTTCAGGTATCATGGAATTTTATTGGGCAATATGTTTCATATATGTAATGATTTAAACTGTTTGTTATTTTGCCTCAATGAAATGAACAAAAAAAGACTGTCGTTTATAACTGGTTATCCCTTTTTGATCTACAAATCATAAGGACACCATCATTAACCCAGAAAAAAAGAGCAAAAGTAGCTGGGAGAGAGGATGTAAAAAAGTTGGTTTTGATTTAGCTTTGTTAAATTACATACATTGGAGCATAGACTTAGAAGTATAGTTTGATTGGACTCTTTGTTTGGATGATATGAATGTGGTGTTGTTCTGATGATGCAAGAGTTTTTGGGGTAGAGTAAGTCTCGATGCGTGTATTAAGATGCTTACTTCATTACTATGATGGCGTTGCAGTGTTTGGAAATGTCTGTATGAGGAAATACACTGTTGTGATAGTAGTCTAATAAATTTGAATATATAAAATTGTATATACAAGTTGAGAATTTCATGGAGTGCTATTTTACAAGAAACTCTGTCGATTTTTTTTAAAAAAAATAGTGGGTGCAGATTAATTGGTAATTTTTCTAATTGATGATTTATTATATTACATAGTGCTTTCAGGCACGGACATTAGCTAGTATAATTAATAAAATAGAGTGGAGTTTTGAATTTTGGAGACAAAAAAAAGGTTCAGATCGTTTTGAGACAAAATATAAACACATTCAACGGACAATATAATCCCAACATAAAATACGGTTTAAATCATTTTAAAATTGTTGATCTGACGATCCTAATTGATGCTCATAATTTTTTTGCACCTAAAATTTGAATAAGCCTTTTATCTTGTATAGAACTCCAGACACCTATTTCTCGTATATCTTCTCTCTCTCTCAAAACACATACAACTAAAAATTTTAAATTCTAAATTCACTCCCATCCAGTATCTCCACTCTGTTATGTTATTAATTCTTAAGTTTAATTCAATTCTATTTCAACAAGTCAACAAATATTATTATTGATTTTAGGCTTAATTTTTTCTTTAGGTATCATGGAATTTTCTTGGGCAATATGTTTCATTTATGTAATAATTTAAACTGTTTGTTATTTTGCCTCAATGAAAAAAAAAAGATTTACATTTATAATTGGTATGTTTAGCCCTCAATAATTATAACTTATATATATATATATATATATATATATATATATATATATATATATATATATATATATATATATATATATATATATTTGCGGTTCTAGACGTATAAAGGAGGTAAGATTTGAAGTTTCTACACAAGTATATGCAAGGTATATTCACAATTTCTTGACTTTTGGTGAGGTTGATTAGGGTAGAGAAAAGACAACAAAAATGTTGAAGTGTTTTGAAATGCTGAAATGATCAGGGCACAAGTGTTTTGATGTGAATTTTTTTTGGTGGTTATGGTAATTGTTAAATATGCTAAAGAATTTTCTTGGTTGCAGGTTTGATTTGGATTTGTTTTTTTTGCTGAATGCGTAAATTCCTGGTGATATGGTGATCCACGTTATTTGATTTGTGAGTCCAAAATTTAGTGGTGGTATGTTCAATATCAATTTGATTTGGTCAGGTTAAGATTTTCTTGATTTGATATTATGTTCATTGATTTGTGGCTTGGGAGCATTCTTAATGTCACATAATGTATATGACTTTGCATAAAGATAGCCTTTAGTAGTATATAGAATAATTGTATAAATGTTTATTTGATTTGTATAACCATCTTGAACTGATTTGCATTGTGACAAACAAATGTTATTTGGTTACACATGCTTTGTATCCATACTATCAAAAAGATGCACCCAATTAAAATCCATGTTACATCTTGAGACTCTTTACTAACAGGTCTCTTGAAAAATAATGAGAGATGCAATGGTAGAGTGTTAAAGTCTACATGTCAATACATGAGAGATTTATTTATATTTGGATAGAAATGTCATTGGCCGTGAAATTCATAAGTCTATCTATAGGATTGTAGTGTGATTGTGAGTTAGTAATTAGTTTGAGGTATGTTTTTTTTAAATAAAGGTTGGTAACAATTACTAATTCATTTAAGTAAGTGTTAAACCCAAGTTAAAATTGTTGGGTGTTCATGTGTTAAGAGGAAATTCTATCATTTTTTTTAAAAAAAATTGTAGTTACATATTAATCGACAAAGTTTTAGGTTATACAGTGCCTCTAAGCATGGTAAATTGTTTGAATTTTTTTTTTGTTGAGGCATGGACAATTACTACTATATATATATATATACTTCATGATACCTTTCCATATATACTTTACATATATACAAGAATAGTTTGAAGCACTATATAGCAGCCCACTTAAAATTCCACACTCCACGTACGTCCGAGTCACAACACATTTACTAGCGTCAAACAAGTGTGCTTTTAGGTTATTTTATTTATTTCATTCTATGACATCTCATGTTTTTTTTTTTTATATTTCAAACACATTAATTTAATGATCTTAAAAATACTAATCAAGTCCTTCAAGATCCACACATACCAATTTGAATTACACACACCAAGTCCCAAACCCATAGTCGATTGAATTCACACATTAACCATAGTCGGTTTAGATTTGTTTTTTTATTTTGAAATTTCCACACCAGAGTCATAACTTTAAAATGCGTTCGAGGCCTTACTTTGTCTCTCACAACTCACAAGACCTGACTATTGGAATCACAGTCGTCACACAAATAATCTTCAAGCTATATCACACAAGTATAGTTGATAAATGCTTAATAACATTTTCAATCAATAGGAATTAATACACTCACTTTGGGTTAAATCCAAACCCGAATTCAGTGTTTTAAAGCCAAGCAGGCCGGCCCGACCCGACTAGTTGACCCAGTGAACCAGCCCATGAACCGGGCCCGATAGAGTATAAGATTGTTTGAGCACAAAACCCAGTGAAGACCCATTGAACTGGGCGGTTCTTGTCCAAACCCGCTGAACCAGATGGGTTGGAACAAATAAGGCGAGTCAATCAAAAGAGTATAAAAACCAGCCTTTTGCCCCATTTGGGCATTTTTGCCCTAAACCTAATCGACTTTATGCCTTTATCTCTCTCCAGTGTAAAGTCGGATGCTTCAGCCTCTCTCTCTCCCTTTCGCCCTCACCCTCACCCTCACCCTCACCCTCACCCTCGAACGAATCAGCCTCTTTTTCAGTTAAACTCGAAATAATCATCCTCTTTCCTAGTCGAATGAATCAATCTCTCTCAGTCAAAGTGTCGAACTAATTAGGCCCCTCCCTTGCTCTCTCTTAGTCGGAGTGTCGAAGAAGGCAGGACATGCGTCAATCTTCCTTAGTTCCTTGGCAATTTGCTTCACCAGCTCTCTATGTTGAACTTTCCTTTGAACTTTTCTTTGATGTATGTTGATTTGTTCTGCATTAGAAATCCCCCCCTTTTTTTTACTTGATTTATTTTTGACGCTCAATTTTAGTACATAGATATTGATTGAGATTGCTGCCTATTTTGATTGGGTCGATCTTTGTGGATTTGAATGGAGAAGTTGGAATTGGAAATAAAAATCAGTGTTTTTTTTTTTTTGGAGTGGAATTTTTTTTCAATTATGGAGAAACTAGATTATTGAACCATTGACCCATTGATCCGATCTCTTTGTCAAGTAGATGTTCGGGTCGAGTTCAAAAACTATGCCCAGATTCAATCTCCCTGTGTAATCTTAGGTGAATCCGACATTGACGTCACCACCTCAACACCTAACATACATTATTACA